ATTAAACCAAATGCATTCGAATTATTTTAATCCATATAATGATCTTTGCAATTTAATTGAAAACATGGTTCTTGGGCATGTATTATTTGTTCATGACATTTTAAGTCCTTAGGGGCCTTTCATACAGACGTCATTATCAAGTAAACCATACAAATAGGCAGTTACTTCATTCATAAGGTGCATATCGAGCTTTTGTGATACATTCAATCTAATTAAGAATCTAAAAATGATGGTGTCTATTACGGGAGAATATGTTTTCTCATAATTAATTTTTGGTTTTTATGAAAAGGCTTAAGCTACTAGCCGGGCTTTGTATCTTGTAATTTCATTATTTTCATTTCTTCGTGCAAAACTCATTTGTATCCAATAATAGGTCCAAACACTTTCCGTTTTTCTGAGGAATTCAATTCCACTTATATTTCTTCTATCCATTTTGACAAATCATTTATATGTTGACAGATTTTAGCTGATTGTGGTTTAGAATCCTCATTTTGTACAATATCAAGGCCACGTTAAAGGTATTGTCCACAAAAAAATTATTTCGTTCCCATAATTTATTAGACAACTTATAATTTATTGAAATCTCATTATTTTTGGATACTTGTGGTTCTTCAGGAGTTTTATTTTCAATATTTGATTGGTCAATCTTTTTTAATGTTACTTCTTTCAAAGATTTTGGTTGATTTTTCTCTTGTACTTTTCTTTTTCGAGGTACAAATTTTTTTAAACCAACTGGACGACCATGTTTCTAACATATTTGAGATTCATTTGCTACAGTAGATTGTCCTTCAGGGACATTAATTTTTGTTGAAATATTTTTCTGCTAAAATATATGAGTTTGTGACTTTTCTTGTACAACAAATACATCACGTATGATTTACAACTCTTTGCAAATGAATGATTATTTCAATATCTTCTTCACTATGATTGTTGTGGAGATCACAACAATCATAGTGAGATAGAGTCATTTCATTTCAATAAATTTTACCTTATTTCTTAGGATGTAGTTTTTTCCCCAAAATTTTGGAAAAGTCATTTCATTAAAATGACAATCTGCAAAACCTGTAGTAAATAAATCACCTGTTAAAAGTTTAAGATACTTAATAATAGATGGCGAATCAAAATCCACATAATTCCCAAGTCTTCGTTGGGGATCCACTTTAGTACGTTGTGGGGATTTGAAATAGGGACTTCGACAGCACAACAAAAAATCCACAGGTGAGAAATATTATGTTAACAAGCAAATGCAAATTGCAAAGATGAATATTGATAATAGGCAATTAGTCATATACAAACCAATGATGCAGCGTATAATAAGGCATGATTCCGAAATAGAATTTGGGGGGTGTTGTTTTCATAAGTAATCGTCTAACAATAAGTTGTAGACGTTTAATAAACGACTTTACTAAACCATTTTTGTATCGACATGCGCAACCAAATGTTCAATAACAATTCCAATTGATATACAACAATTATCAAATACTTTTGATTTAAATTTACCAGCATTGTCAAGATGAATAGTCTTGATTGAGCAGTCAGGGAATTGCGCTCATAATTTTATGATTTGAGCAAGTAGTTTAGCAAATACTACAACCCAATCGAAAGTAGGCAAATATGCTACCATCTAGTGGAAGAATTAATTAATACCATAAAATAACTAAATGGCTCACATGGTAGGTATATTGGTCCGCATATATCTCCATGAACTCTTTTGAAGAAAGTTGGAGATTCAATATTAACATTTGTAGTCGATGGTTTAATGACTAACTTGTCTTACGAACAAGTTACACAAAAATAATCATTAGGTAAAATAATTGTCTGGTTCTTTAAAAGATGTTCACGTAAGTTGTTTAATATTCGACGCATCATTATAACTTCTAGATGTCCAAGTCGATCACATTAAAGTATAAAAAAAAATTGGGTCAACGAACTTTTGATTCGTGACAGTATTTGATTTAATCATTTTTATAAATATATAATACATGCTAGATGGGAGTGCATTAAGTTTTTCTTTTATTTGCTCCTTATCAGATACAAAAGAAGTTATGCAAAAATATTCAGCCCTTGTTTGGTACCCATTTTTCCCAAAATACATTTTTCTCTCTCTTATTTTCAACCATATACTCTTCAATAAAATAATATTACACGCAAAATTAAAACTTTTTCTTATTTTTTAACCACACATTTTTCAACAATCACTATTACAAAATGCATTTTTACTATGAAAATGAGAAACAAACATACTCTCAATATTACTTTCTTACATTGTCTTAATGTGATATCCATTGCAACAGATACCTTTAAAATTAAGCAAATTTCTTTTGAATTTGCTTGAATAAAGTGCATCGTCAATATAAAATTTGTATTATTTGATAAAATAATACAAGCTCTTTCGGAACTTTTAACGATATTCGACACACCTGATATATTTTTAACATTATTTTCTACTGATGTCAAATTCTAAGAAATACTTTTATCTTGAAGAATTTTGTGTACATCTGCTCAACAGATATCTTGATGTTCCATCTTAAATCTTAATAGTATTTCAAGATTTATGCTTTTCCAAAAGCGCTAATATGACATTCTTTGAGAATATTAAAACATCGAAATGTATGCTCTTCTAGAGCAATAAATTAATATCCTTCATGAATATTAATAAAATAAAATTTTATTTTCCTTTAAAAATTATAACTCGGTATTAAGTAATTTATTTTGTGTCTCTTCATAAACACAACGAGATATATATTCTTCTAAACACGTGCTACTTTGAGAGCACATTATATTTTATTATTAGTTCTTCAAAAGTAACAGATCAATATTCTTCTGAAATATTGAAAATTACAATTTATGCTCTTTAGGAGCAAGTATATTAATTAAATATTGTGCTACTTCAGAAAAGAACAATAAATTATTTATAATAGATATGATATAAATTTATATAGAATAAGTAATTACCCAAAATGTATAAATAAAATAATCTTCCAAACATGCAACTGAATTGACTTCATATATAAACATGTAAATATGACAAAGTAATTATTATACATATAATGAAATAATTATTATAGATTTGCGTGCAAGCAAAAAAGCGTAAAAGAGGTAGAAGAAGAAGCAAACTCGTTTTAATGTATATGTATGTAGAAAAATTTACATGCCACCAAATTAATTTTGATATATGTGATAGATGATTATATTTAAAAAAAAAATTTACTGCATTCACTAAACTTTGAAAAATTAAGTTTTCGTGCTAATAAAGTGTTATGAAAAAAGAGAAGATGTAATAAAAAATCAATAGACTTGTTCAGTTTTATTAAGAGCCAAAACCATATATTTATATGTAAGAATTAGTGATACAACGATAGTAATTTCTAAGACTGTAGGGGTACTACTGTTATTCACTAATAAAAACTTACCATTTACGACAAACGTAGCTTTGTTCATAAATCATTACAAGTACATAAAGGAAACAAATATATGTAATATGTATAATATGGTCTATCTTGTTAAACGTACTCTCTAACTTTTTTTTTTCTTTTTTTTTTTTTTCTTTTTTGTTCCTACAAAATACTCGGACCATTATACGTTGAATAAATATTCCTCTTTCAAACTTTCAATGTGAGAGCGTATCTTTAAAAATCTTTCTTTCTGTTGATAATTATTTTTCAAATTTAAGCATCGGAATTCTAGATACGCTTTAAATGCCACGACAAAATGGTAAGTCTTTGAGAATATTGATCTTGAAATCTAATTTCTCATAGATTGAGTTATTTAAATTTTGTCTATCTTGATGAATATATATATATATATATATATAATAGGTACGTAAATTATTAAAAAGCAATATTTAAAGAATCTTTTGCATATAAAGTTGGACAATACATTATAAATCAAGTTTATAAAGAAAAACATGTTATATTATCAAAACTTGGAACAACGCACGGATGTACAATAGGAAACTACGAGGAAACACACCTTTTAGCAGCCGTGGGAAGATAATTAACAGTATGCTTGACATGAGAATTTTAAGAAAGCATATAAAATAACTTGATTGAGGGAATATATTTAAAGATAATTGTAGTTAACAAAAGTTCAAATGTATTTGTTGAAAATTGATGGATCTGGACAACTCCGTGTATTTAAAAATATAGAATATAAAATTTATAAGGTAGTTGAAGTTAAAGATAGCAAGCTTCAGGTAAGTGGTGACCGATGCTCCAACATTCCATTTGGTGTAATGACAAAAACTCTACATAATTTTAATGAACTACTAGAATAGTAACTAACTTGATTGTATGAATTTATGTTTAAAAACTTGTCTGATCATTAAGTGAAAATATAAAGGATCAAAGGTAAATGAGTCAAAATTGTGGAAAAAAAAATATTAAAAAAAATTTTCTTCTTAAAACATAAACTGAGAAAACCGGTTCCAGTTCTTCTAATATTTAAGCAAATCAGAAAATTTTGAGACTCTCAATAACTGTACGGGGGGGTTTGTATCCCATTTTTGTAAAAATGAGAATGAAAAATAGAACCATTATGGACTCCACACAAGAGATACAAATTCAAATTTGGTGGCTTGATGTAATGAATAACGATCATATTTTTTATTTTAATGGGAAAAAAATGGGAAACAATCATGGGACAATTTGCATCTTTCTTATATTTTACAATTATAATTGTAAAGGCTTGTCCAAACGCATATAAGAAAAAATAGAGGAAATGAGGGGTGGCGGCTTCATTATTAAGATGAAAATTTTCAATGAAGTGGACTAATGATAGTGAAACTTTAAATGTTACGTATAAGTGTGACTAAAAGTGATTTAAAGCACTATTATTAGTCAATGCATTCAAATTTTACCATTTGGGTTGTTAATCTCCTAAAGAAATTATTACCTAAACACTACTAATCTACTTTTATTGAAAATTTTCATCTTAATGATGAAGCCGTAACCCTTTTTTCCTCCTTTATTTTACATGCTTGTTTAACATCTCGTGTCAAGCATACTGTTGGCTAGATACCTAGTTCCATATTTGTCATCATATATACTCATTTCTTTCTCTCTTATTTATCAAATCTCTTATATTAATGGAGAATCATGCAACACTGTTCCTTGGTTCATCTATGACTCCATTCCCTTTTACTCTTTATACAAACATAGAAAATCCGTCAAACCAGGAAATCCGTTTCCCTATAGCACAAGTAACAGAAGTTCCACAAAAGAAGAAATTTATACAGATAGATCAAAATGAGGTGAAGCAATCTGGAAAGAAAACTGGTGAGAAGAAAAATAGAACGCCCAGATTTGCGTTTCAAACAAGAAGTCAAGTGGATATACTTGACGATGGGTATTGCTGGAGAAAATATGGTCAGAAAGTAGTCAAGAACAATAAATCTCCAAGGTATTTATATACTTATATCTTAATTAAGTTTTTCAAACGAAATTTTTTGATCTTGACTAATCTAACATTCCTATTTCTATTAATATGCGTACAAATTTTCTTCTTCAAAAAATCCCAATTTTAGTGATAGTTGAGACTTCGAAATCCCACATCGTTCTTGATGTTAATTGTGGCTTTGACATAACACCGCATGGAATGGATCTTCCTTTCTCATATGTAAGAGGAGAGTTGTCTCTGCTTGATGTTGTAGAATTTGTTTGAATTCCACGTTGAATAGAAACTAAAAATATCCTCTTTGCGCTCAAATAAACAGAACTTTTTGTTTTGTGTTTATCAATCACAATTTGAGTGATATTTGAGACTTCGAAGTTTTCTCGTACTTGAACAATGCAAGTTTTGGAGTGTTTTGAGTATTTACTATTGTTTCATATTCTTACATTTCAATTATCAGTGAAATTTTCTTGTCGTCTTTACCCATAGATGTATACCTAATTTCAATATCATGAACATGTTTGAAACACTCAAATTGATTAGAATTTTCAGTTGATTTATGGAAATTTTGCATTGAAATCATGTTACATAGGTATAATACACCTTAAAAACATTATCAAGGCACAAAATTAATGGAGAAAGAAGACTAAACTGTGTGTACAATGTGTTGAACAATAAATTGAAATAAATACGTATGTTCTATCTACGAAAACTTATCTTTTACATGTGATGGTTAAATCCTATAGAATTCTTTCCAAAAAAGTCAATAGAACTCTAAAATCTCAAAACACTATACGAAAGGGTGCATTGCAGAATCCTCTTAAAACTTAATTATTCACTAATCTAGTATCTATCTAACAACTTTACACGACCCGTGATTACTAGTGAATTTGGCCTGCAATCCTCCAAACATGTATAAACTAAAACTTAGTTTTGACATTCTGTTTGTTATTGTCACTTAGATGATACAATTAATCAGTGCTAAAAGAGTAAGCATACTCATTTATTCAATTGTATGTTGTTCCTTGCAGAAGCTATTATAGATGTACTTACGAGGGATGCAATGTTAAGAAGCAAGTACAACGACAATCCAAAGACAAAAGCATTGTTGTGACAACTTATGAAGGAATGCACACACATCCAGTACAGAAACCTGGTGATAATTTCGAACAAATTCTTAATCAGATGCAAGCTTATCTCCCTAACTAATTAATATTGAAGTCTTGATCAAGAATAAGTTCGTTGTTATATGAGTTAGAACATAAACATTATAATATGTAACGGATACTAGGCACCGACTACGTATGCTGGGTTTATTATGTTATTTGCAATTAGGGTATGGTGAGAGACATATTATATATTGTAACAATATTTTTATAAGGTGGATATAAATTTCTTTATTTTACAGCTTGTTTTATTCCGATTCTAGCCTAACATGTACAAAACCATTTCTAAATAAACTTTCGAACTTATTTTGTTAGTATTCCTTTTTCTTTAATCTAAATCTCAAGAACATAATTTATAGCCTACAATAAGGAACCTAATGTACATTCTAATAGAAAATAAATCATATTGAACTTAGGATTACATGTCAGTACATAGAGATTCTTTATGAAGTAGTCAAAGGAAGTACGATAGGTGCAAGTAGGAAAAAAATCACTAAGAAGTAGGGCATACAACAATGGATCAATAATTGAGTGTGATAGAAATCGATAACTTGAATCCATTGCCTTAGAATAGAGAGGGCTAGAAATATCCTCCTTGATTTGGCAACAATCAATAAATGTTGAAAAAAATTATTAGTAATATTCAAAAAACTTTGCGAAATGGTTATTGACAACAGTCAAAAAATATTTCAAAAGATTATTTGCAATAATGAAAAAATGTTGTTGTATTCTTCTACTCTACAATAACGTTGAGATTTGCAATTTACGTCCGAACGTTGCAAAAACTCTATGGCAACTTTTTTAAACGTTACAAAAGGCTGTTTCTATTTTCGTGCTGCTTACTTAAATAATGTATATATTTTGAATAAGAAATATGTGTGGTCCATAACATAGATAAAAATATTTTTTGATAATAAAAAATTCATAAAAGACCGCGTATGAAAAATATTACGAAATATTTTATTGTGGTGTACTAACTTGTTGTGAAAGTTTTATAAATAAGCAAATAAATAAATTATTTGATTGTCCTGTGCTAAAATTTTTATTCCGATGATAAATTTAGAATTATTTGGTGCGTTTTGTTCATGTTAAAATTGCATATGGTACACAGTCTTGTTTAATATATTTAATCGTTTATGTAACTTTATGTTAATATCTTGGGACACTTAGGTTGTGAGTAATCAAAATCTTAGATAGAGAAGACAATAGCTCAGAATTTAGAGTATAACTCTAATTAGCTTATTTTGGATAAACTATTTAGCAGAAGAGGTAATAATAGGAGCATGATGACACGATAACCTCCAAGTACCCACATTTATTTCATATGTTTTAATTTCAAGGACGAAATTTATTTTAAGGGATAGAATTTCGCAACGCCACTCTCCATTTCTTGTGAATATCATGTCTTCTAGATTAATCGCATTGATGCTACATTTACAGCTTAATCATTATAATTATCTTTGTCGTGGTTCATTAATTTTTTTTTTCTTTTATAGTGGAATGTGCCTTGAACTCCCTAGATGATCGACGTGCCTATAATTTAAATTTAATATGTTCATAGTTTTAATAAGTCCAGATTTAATTATATATTTCATTTATTCTATTGTGTGCAATTTTGCATTTGAATTAAACCTAAACATCAAGTTGGAAGATGTTCTGTTGTACATTTAGAGGGAATTAATTTAACAATAATAAGTTAAGTAGTTAATAATAGAAATTTATTGACTTAATGAACTTAAAGATTAAATAAGTTAATATGCTAGATTAGGAATATTATTACTTGATTATTATAAATTACATCCCTATAAACGTCACTACCATACAAGTGATTATCCATCATTATAATCCCCTTCAAGACATTTATGGTTTCTATTGATCTGTGGATTTAATCTATGTTTTGAAATTCAGTGCACTTTCATTTTAACATTAAGAAATCTAATTTAATATACCACTGAAGGTCTGTTCATGTATGTATGTATGTATGTATGTATGTATGTATCTATATGTTTTCTTCACATTATTCCTTACTTAATTGTTCTTTGCCAATTTAGTAATTGACTTCTTTTCATTACTGGTTTATGCCGATTCTAGCCTTATATGTACAAAACCATTTCTAAATAAACTTTCGGACTTATTTTGTTAGTATTCCTTTTTCTTTAATCTAAATCTCAAGAACATGATTTATAGCCTACAATAAGGAACCTAATGTACATTCTAATAGAAAATAAATCATATTGAACTTAGGATTACATGTCAGTACATAGAGATTCTTTATGAAGTAGTCAAAGGAAGTATGATAGGTGCAAGTAGGAAAAAAATCACTAAGAAGTAGGGCATACAACAATGGATCAATAATTGAGTGTGATAGAAATCGATAACTTGAATCCATTGCGAAGCCTTAGAATAGAGAGGGCTAGAAATATCCTCCTTGATTTGGCAACAATCAATAAATGTTGAAAAAAATTATTAGTAATACTCAAAAAACGTTGGGAAATGGTTATTGACAACAGTCAAAAAATATTGCAAAAGATTATTTGCAGTACTGAAAAAATGTTGCTGTATTCTTCTACTCTACAATAACGATGAGATTTGCAATTTACGTCCGAACGTTGCAAAAACTCTATGGCAACTTTTTTCAACGTTGCAAAAAGTTGTTTCTGTTGTAGTGTTGCTTACTTAAATAATGTATATATTTTGAATAAGAAATATGTGTGGTCCATAACATAGATAAAAATATTTTTTGATTATCAAAAATTCTTAAAAGACTACGTATGAAAAATATTACAAAATATTTTATTGTGGTGTACTAACTTGTTGTGAAAATTTTATAAATAAGCAAATAAATAAATAATTTGATTGTCCTATGCTAAAATTTTTATGCCGATGATAAATTTAGAATTATTTGGTGCTTTTTGTTCATGTTAAAATTTTATATCGTACACAGTCTTGTTTAATATACTTAATCGTTTATGTAACTTTATGTTAATATCTTGGAACACTTAGGTTGTGAGTAATCAAAATCTTAGATAGAGAAGACAACTCCTTGTGATTAACAGATTACCTAAAAATTGGATCTTCGGATTCTATTATTTAATATTATTTATTACAAAATTAATTTAAATAAATAATAGATCTCGACAAAATCAAATGCATTAAATATATTAAAAGCGTTTACAACCTAAATCGATTGGATCTGGGGTATAGCACTTACATTAATTATATATTTTATTTATTCTATTGTGTGCAATTTTGCATTTGAATTAAACCTAAACATCAAGTTGGAAGATGTTCTGTTGTACATTTAGAGGGAATTAATTTAACAATAATAAGTTAAGTAGTCAATAATGGAAATTTTTTTGACTTAATGAACTTAAAGATTAAATAAGTTAATATGCTCGATTAGGAATATTATGACTTGATTGGTACAAATTGATTACATTTATTTTCCATGAAAAATATCAGTTTTCCATCCAAATTCCTACTTGGAGTGTTTGATTGCTATTTTTTTTCCATGAAAAATATTTTCCAACTTTTGAAAATATGCCTAATTTTCCTTGTTTTTAAGGAAAATATTTTCCCTGGGTAGAAATTGTTTTTATTTTCCACAAAAGATGGAAAATATTTTCTTTTCTACGTTATATTTTCCATATCAATCAAACACACTCTTATGGTTTCTATTGATCTGTGAATTTGATCTATGTTTTGAAATTCAGTGCACTTTCATTTTAACATTAAGAAATCTAATTTAATATACCACATCAGGTCTGTTCATGTATATATGTATGTATGTATCTATATGTTTTCTTCACATTATTCCTTTCTTAATTGTTCTTTTGACGATTTAATAATTGACTACTTTTCATTTCTGGTTTATGCCACATGGCCACTGCAACTATTACAAATTTTGTGTTCTTAAACATTAAGGCTGAGGCTCTTTTTATATAAACTGTTAATTTAAAATATACTTACTTAGTATATGTGAGTAATTATATTTCCTCTATCAAGATTTTTAGTAAAATAATGTACTAACTTAAGGTAAATCATAAGAATCATTGGACAAATAAGTAATTTTTGTCTATGTTAATTATTTAACTCTTACTTAAAATTAACTTTAAGCTTAGACCAATCATACCCAAGTCATTTTTTCTACCGTGTCACCGTTGGGTTTTAAAACTAATTGTACATGCAGTAAAATTGATATAAATTTGTGCCTGTGTCCTTGTTTCAGTCTTTAATGACTTTAATTTTTTATGAATAGTTTGTAAAGAATATTGGTGGAAATTCATTGTCACTACGTCGTAGTATCACAGGAAAACAGAAATTTAATCTTGGAGCTTTTGAAATTTAGCTTTTCCTTCACCAGTGTAAATTTTAAATGAATGTCATAACGATTTCGCGGTTGTCGTCTACTAGTCCAAAAATTTTATAATGATACCAAAGATGGGATTATATATTTGATCTCTAATATAATTCGTAGAAATCATTTTAATAAATGGAAATGAACTAGGATTTTTGGCACGATTTTGTAGATAGTTAGGGATATCTTCACTTTCACTTACATTTCAAAAAGTAAAATTTCTAAGCATTTCAGCTAAGTAAATCTCTCCAGTTTTCATGCCTACGTCATATGGTTGAATGTATAAACGTGTTATCTTAATTGCCATTATGTTAACATGATATTTGATTATTATGTTTTATATCATTAATGTTTCTCATTATATATTTATACATGTTAATGCATCAATAACTATATATGAAGTTTTAAAAAATAAAAATTTTCAAATGTCAAAGAGTCAAAGAATGTTTTAAAGATATGTGTCCCGAATGTTTTATTACGAAGTGTATGTCACGTTATGAAAAGTGTAAGTGGGGAATGGGGCATGAGGGATTGGTGCACCCGATCAATATTCAATGTTTAATGACAATGGTAATGTCCACTGATTTGCGGTACTACATGTAGGACTTGACCATGTTCCAAATGATAATTGCTTACTGCATTCTAATTGGCTAGTCGATACATCAAGTGATCTCATAACCTCGATGTTAAGTTTTTAATGAAATGAAATAGATGAGATATATATTGAGAAATACTTTTATTTTAAAGTAATTCATGTGTATATCATAAATATACATCATATGCATAGGGTTTGCTTACTGAACGTTAACTCATTCCACGTTATCTCTTACCATTTTCAGACGATAAGGACAATGATTCGAGAAGACTACTTGTGGTGCGATGAAC